AACCAGAAACAATCTCAGCAGGCAGCAGCTAATTGTTGAGTCTCCTTCGCTGCCTTGACCTTGAAAAACGGTGGTGGTTAGGAGCCTAACTACCACCAACTACTTTCTAGAAAACTGGATAAAAATTTTTCAAAACACTCCTTAATTAGGATAATTGTTAGGAATCAAATAGCTAGGTATTAGTTAATATGATTTACAGTGATATATTAACAGTGGGTTTATTAATGAGGTGATTTTTAAATGAATGAATGTATAGAAATTTATGTGTCTTATTTGTGTCCATAAAGTCCATAAAAATTGCATCATGTTAAATTAAGACTGCGTCGTTAATTAACATGCTGACAGATATTTTCATGACAAGTAATCAAAACACCCCTGATACCAAGTATTGAATTAATGGACTCAAACTTTGCATTAAGGTTAGGTTTGGTACGTTACAATGTAATGTGATGCCTTACATTAATCAAATTTTATCTTATAAATATTACGACTTTATTTGATTTGATTATTAGAATTAACTAATAATTATAGTTGTTAATATATAATAATAATAATAAAACATTTAATATCTATTAGGTTTCGTTTGGATTAATTTTTTACTCCACTTTTTCACACAACACTTCATAAAAATTTTAATTTATTTTGATTAAATTACTTTTAATTAATATCTTGTATAATTTTAGGATCATATTTTTATTATCTAATTTAACAGTTATATTAATATATATAACTTTTTTGAAAAACAACTATCAAACAATAATGTAATTTTTTTCATAATAAAATACTAACAAACTATAATCATAGTATTTCACAATCTTAAATATAACCTTAGTATTTAACAATTTGAAATTTACTTTTAAAGATCACGAAACAGTATAACCTACCAAACTAAACATTATATAGTCAAAGTGTTTATTTTAGTCTGAGTTAAAAATATGAGGATATTGTTTACATTTCTTAAAAAATTAAGAGTCTCCCATTCTAAACTTTTGTAGATTCAATAAACACTCTTCAACTCCCATTCCGAACCCATACAATTTCAGAAAACACCTTTCATTTTATATCAAAAAATTACATGGTTTGAAGTTTTTAGGAAGGATTGAAGGATTTTTATTCAAACGAAACCACATAATTTTTGACATAGAGAGTACTTTAAAATTTAGGAGGTTGGATTGACGAACTTTTTTTTTTTTCTAAAAAATATTTCATATTTATTTTTTTGTGTTGAACCATCTAAATTTTTATTTTTTGAATTATTTGTGAAAAGATTTTCCTTGTGATAAAGGACAAAATTTAAAGGAAGAAAACGTTACTTTGATGATCTACAAGGAACGAATAAAGTCATGTATTCCTTTTATTTTTACACAACAAAACTGTGAAACAAGAAGGTCAAACTTTCTCAAAGACGATTATCATTTTAATTAATTAGTTTAGTACCCAATTTGACCCCTAAACTTTCATTTTTGAACTTAGTTCATCCTTTAACTTCAGAAAGCACCTAAATC